GCAGTCAAGGATTGAAATCAGATTTTTGATGCCAAAGGAGCCTCCTAGATGCATCAGAACAAAACTCGGGGCTTGTCTTCATAATCACGACTAAGTGAATGACACACGGCATACAGCAAATGTACTTGCCTTTTAACACAAGAGTTTTAGAACAGAGGCACCGCTTCTATAGCCCCACCAGTAACCCAGAAGTGGGGTCGTATTGTGCATGTGGATGTGGGTAGGAGGGAGGGTGGAAAGAAAAAACATCAGTGAATCCTGCAGCATCTTCATTCTGGTTTTAAATCCAGCCATCACTTCAGACAATAGATGCATAATGCTTTCAATAAAATATATATGTGAACAAAGACAATAAATGAGTCTCTCTCTTAGGGACACCATGGATCAGATGAGAGGGTTAAAATGAGTGAGTCACAGAACATCCATTAGTGAAACTCCTCAGTGCCGAGTTACTACCCCCTCCTTCAAAAGCAGCCACGCTGGCAGAACATGAGAGCCAGGCTTGCTCTATATTTAACAGGTTAGCTGATGTAGGCAGGGAGGCTTACAGCCTGAGGGAAGACAGCAAGAGATAGAGAAGAGTTTCGGGCTACGAGGCACTCACTTCAGGGGCCACAAAATTTGCGGTGTAGCAAGGGGTCATGAGAAGGCCATTTTCTGCTCTCAGCTGCTTGGCGAAGCCGAAGTCGCAGATGCGAATGTTTTCCGGGTTTCCAGACTCGTCCACATAGAGGATGTTGCTGGGTTTCAAGTCCCTGTGAACTACCTGCAAAGGAAAAAGCAGAAGGTGCCGTTGCAACATCTTTCTCCCATAGCAACTACATTCCTCATTCCAGCGAAGCAAGCGCACAGACTGGCTCCACGACTAAAATCAATCTAACATGATGCACTGCTACTTTCATGGAAACAGCAGGTCTGGGCCAGCCTGCTTCTCACCAAGCTGAACAGGAACAGGCCAGGCTCTCAGCTTCTCCTACTCACCCCTTGAGAGTGCAGATACTCCACCGTCTTACAGATCGTATGGAGGACAGAACTGGCCTCCCGCTCAGAGAAACACTTCTGCCGGAGGATTTTGTCCAACAGCTCCCCTCCTCTCATTAGCTCAGTCACCAGATAAACATACTTTCCATCCTCATACACCTGCCAAGGCAGATATACAGGGAATAGTCACTACAAACAGAAGTGATCACAAATTCTTTCCAAAGTCCCATGGACAGCACTGCTTATAGCCACACAAGGAGCGAGCGATATTATGCGCATCCTACTACGGCCTGCTCAGCCTCAGGTAGTTGGAATGAACTTCCATGAGCTCTTAAAAAAACCTGAAGTCAATCCAAGTTTTGATGAGCTCAAGCTGAGAGCTTCCTTTGCCCCAGCCTCGGTTACCAAGCAACGCCGAGAAATTAACTGGTTTAATAGTGCATGTGCTCACTTAGAGCAGAGCGGGGATCAAAGAAGCGCAGCTCAGCACTGGAAGACCTGGTGGCAACAAAAAAAATGGGCGTCCCCATCCTGTAAACCTTGTAGAATGGCTTCTTGTACGAGGACACAGGGGAACCCGGCTGTGTTATGGTCAGCTGGATTCTAGCTGGAGGGAGGTCTGTAACTCTGAGCCAGTCTTTGCAGCAGGCAGGTGATAACCAACCTTTACACTAGGGTGCCTCTGAAGCTGCCCTTTTGGAGCTTCACCACCATCTACACACAACACAGGAAGAATCCTCTCCCTCCGCTTCAGCACGTGCTGAGCAACTCTGAGGTCTCCACGGACCAGACTGCTGGGGCATAGGGAGGAGGGTTGCTTAGAAGAGGCAACTGCGAGCAGCCTTTGTTCTGGCGTTTCCTGAACCCATCCGTGCAGGTTCTACTTACATCTTTCAGTGTGATGATGTTGGGGTGCTGCCCGTACCGCAGCAGGATCTCCATCTCCTCTGAAGGGTCTCGTTTGCTCTTATCAATGACCTGCAAGAGTGAGCATAAAAAGGTTATCCAGAGCTGGGGGTCCTGCGAGGCATGAGACAGGACAGAGCACCGTGTGGAGAAAGAGAAGTGGAGCGCGCTGCAGAATCTACCTGGTGAGGGATTTATTCAACTTCCACTCCCCACTGCCTGCTGTACGTTTGCTTTTGAACTTTTCTTTGCTAAGTATCAGTTCTAGAGCCCCCTGGTTCCAAGCAGCCCGTCTTCAGGTTGGGACAAGTTGGAAGTGTTCCCCAAGACCCGAGACAGGGAGTCTGAGTAATACAAAGTGAGGCACAGTATTGAACTCCCCTCCTACAGCGCCATTTCCCCAACCCTCCCAGAGCAGACATCCAGCATGCTGCCATGTAAGAAGCCGATGACATCGCACTCAAGAGGTCAAGGCTTTGTTTTTAGACCTTCTTCAGGCCACTATTAGCAAGAAGGAAACCCGGATGTGGGAGTGCAGATGTGAGGTCTCAGACCTTGACTGCGTATTCCGTGTTGGTGGCTTTGTGAATGCAACGTTTGCACACAGAGTAGGAGCCCACGCCGATGGCCTCCTTCACTATGTAGCCATCGGTGAACTGGAGACTCTTGCCATGCAGCTGCTACAAGACAATGAAACGAGGGGAAAGATTTAACTTTCAAGGACCTCATTACACCATAATGACTGGGCACAAACAACATGGAGGATGGACTGACTGGCTGCTTTCAACTTCCCTACCATGACTTTTTATACTCCCTGTCAGGTAGAAGAAAGGCGAAGCCAGGGCAAACAAGTTGCTGTGCTAGCATCATCACATCTCGTGCATCTGTAGTATCTTTCAGCTTCAAACTGTGCCCGTGGCCATATGTCAGCAGGTGGTGTACCTCAAGGATGGTGGGCAGGTGACACGCATCAGAGATGAAGGGGCTTTGGCTATATAATACATCAGCCAAGGGAAGTTATAGAAGATTCACTGGGTCTTCAGCATGTAGGGTGCTTTGCTTACTCTTTCAGACTGGACGTTCAGCAGGATTTAAGTACTGAACTCCCTTGGGCACCTTTGAATTTCTAGTGAGATCTGGGTCTCTAACTCCCTCAAAGCGCTTTTGAAAAATCCCAGGGTATGCAAGAGAGGCAGGAGCCCTGACAACCTGCCTCTCTGCAGGATATAGGGTTGATCTGGCCTTAGCATGACTCAAAACTGCTGGCTCCATACATATGACATGCATGATTTAGCTGAGTCCCATGGGTATTTTTGGAACCTTGTAGCATGTTGAAGTTTGGTTTTGAACCTCTCTGCAGGTGGTTGGGGAGAGATCTCGTCCCTGCCAACTATGGGCCGTGCCTTTTGGCTTGTAGTAGGTGACCAGGAGCTGTCTTTTCTTTGGCTCTCACCTCGCAGCCTTGCTCAGCCACTGACAAAATAATTCTGACATTTTCTGGAATCTGCAGAAGAACCGACCATTTCACTTGCAAGAGCAAATTCCTTTTTCTCCAAGACTCCAAACTCCCCCTCAGGCTTTACCGAAGACCTCACACAGAGCTCCCGGGCCAGCTGCAATTACCGCGGTTTAAGACAGGACTGTCCTTGGTCTGTGCCTCTTACCTGGACCACAGAGTTCAAAGGTGCTTGGGCAGATTTGACTTTGCCATCCTCCATCATGCCAGTTGCCACAAAACTGAACCCACGGAAGAGCTGATGGGCCCCGGCACTGGGTGGGATTCCAGGGGAGTCTGCAACGGGTCAGGGAGAGGATTCACCTCGCTGTGACGGCATCCTGCCAAGAGCCAGTGTGCTCCCCCCACCCCCTCCTTACTAAAAGGCTCCCAAAGCTCCTCTAGGCCACATTCACACTTCAGGCTAGTCCCTAAGTGACGAGGACATTTATTTGAGGGAGCACCCTGCAGATTTACCTCTGCCCCCTCACCGTCCACCATGTGGAGTCCGTGTCACTCATTCTCCAGTGCTGCTAGAACAGAAGAGCGAATGTTGTGCGCCCCCCAGTACCACAGGCAGCAAAGCCAAAGCATCCTGCATCAGGTTCCTGTGCAGCAGCCTTCCACTAACCTTTCGGCGTTCGAGACGTGAACTCCGTGTCAAAATAAAAGGTGTCATCTGGCCGGCCCACTGCAGGTTTGAAGGGGGGTTTGATTTCCCTGCGATACAGTTTCTGGAAAATAAAGGCCACAGATGCAGTTTGAGACTTTCCCTGTAGATATGGCCACATGCTCACAAGAGGATGGATTTTCCAGGACCTACATGGCGGTTCAGTGTTTGACTAGAGCTCAGCAATCAAAGGGGAAACTCATTGGAAAGAATTTTTTGTTTCGCTGTGGTCACTTCTGGGACAGGAGCTTGCCTTCCCTTCTCCCCCACTTCTACTCAGGAGACAGTTGCTGACAAGGTAAAGAGCAGCAGTCCACATAGTGGTTTACACTACCAGACTGCAGCTCCCAGCTTTAAAGCAGCTCTTGAGGAAGGCAGCAGCTGCACTCAGATCAGACGTTTGGGGGATGCGCCTCTTCAGAGTTGTGCATCCTGTGGCTCTCACCCACATCGAGATGCTGGTTTGAAGCTAGACAGGTCAGGAAGCTTGATGGTCCCTGCTCTATCACCTCCTCCCACTAGCATCAGATACTATACCTGATTGATCCATCCCTGAAGGAATCATAGAAAATGAGAGCTGGAAGGGACCTCAGGAGGTCACATCTAGTCTAACCCCTGCTCAAAGCAGGACCAGCCCCAGCTGCATCATCCCAGCCAAGGCTTTGTCTAATTAGGTCTTAAACACCTCCAAGGATGGAGACTCCACAACTGCTCTAGGTAACCTGTTCCAGTGTTTCACCACACTCCTAGTGATAATTTTTTTCCTCGTATCCAACCTAAACTTCCCTTGTTGCAACTGGAGCCCATTGCTCCTTGTTCTCTCACTTGCCCCCACTGAGACCAGTCCAGCGCCATCCTCTTTGCAGCCCCTCTGCAGGGAGTTGAAGGCTGCTGTCAAATCCCTCCTCGGTCTTTTCTTCTGCAGACTCAGTCAACCCATTTCCCTCAGCCTCTCCTCATCAGTCATGTGTCCCAGCCCCCAAATAATTTTCACTGCCCCCTGCTGGACTCTCTCCAACTTGTCTACTTCTTTTCTGGCATGGGGGCCCAAAACTACACAGCCTTTGAGTTGCTTTGTGAAGATAACTTTGAGAGAAACCCTGCTATCATCAGTGGTGGTTTGTTCTAATGCTTTGATGCCTTCCCTTACTAAAGACCTGAACACCTCAAAAGAGCCCTTCTGGGGGGGGGGGGGGGGAGTACAGTTGGGGAAGTGAGGCACCAAGAAACTGGATTTGCTCCTGGGAAGAAGGTAATTGAATCCATATTTCCCATAGCCCAGTGGGAGCCACCAACACTTTCAGCCGGAGAGCTGTGAAGTACAACACTGCCGTTCCACCAGTAGATCCGGTCCTTTCCAGAAATCTGTCTCCACAGGTCTTCAACACTACCCCTGCCATGCCAAGCCCCGGATCAACTTCCACATCCTCCTCTTGCAAGAGATGGTTCATAGCCTCGAGCCTGTGTGATACGTAGGCTTGGCAGGATTTGATTTTTATTGGTAAATGTTGATAAAAGTTGATTTTGCCTCACGCTCACAGGCCGATGAAAAAATATTTTCATCTTTAATAATTAAAATTTATAGAAGGGGGACATAAGAAAAATGATGGCTGAAGGAGCGTGTGACGACAGGGGGAGCAGCCCTACAAAACCGTGCTGACTGTAGTGTGGACTGAAACTCCCAGAAACCCCAGGGGACTGGGAACAAAAGACGACGATGTGACAAAGCGGACGAGGGACCGACAGGCGAGTGGAGCTGGGGCTGATGGAAGTGCTGCTGGCTGCAGTCCTACACCACTTACCTTTGTTGCGGCAGGCAGCTAAACTGCACTATAATAACAGTATACTGTCATTAATAAATTGTCTGCCCCCTGCACCTCTAACTTCATGCAACCCTGAACATTTAAATCAATAAAAATCGAAATAAACGCTTAGAAATAGACGAGATTATCTCTATATATCTGTAGCCAAGCCCAGCTATATGACTGCAGGGGTAAGAGTCAGTTGCGTGTGCCACCCCTGGTCGCTGGGAAGGACACTGGAGAACACGCAGGATCCCAGAGCCAGGAGAAAGGGTTCTGCACTCACGTTCCAGTCGATGGTAGAGTAGAAAGGATGGCGCTTGATCTCTTCTGCCCCATCGGGACCCGAACCTGAAAGAGAAGCCACTCTGGATTTACAGCTAGATAGGCTACGGTCAGCCAGCACAACACAGCTGTCACCCCTGAGCAATGTGAGCAGGGATTAGCTCAGGGGTGGGCAAAATATGGCCTGTGGGCCAGATCTGGCCCATGACAGGACTTTGTTTGGCCCGTGCTGGTCCCTCGGTCCTGCTTGCCCAGGCACCGTCCAGCTGTGGCACGTCCTGCCACCCCAAGGGCACGCAGCCGAGCTGGGGCAGCTGCACAGCAGGACTGCCTTTCTAGGCAGTCCAGGTGGCGGTGGCTCCATCCGGCTGCCACCAGCACTGCCCCCAGCGCTGCGGTACCAGTGGAGACCTGCGTGTGCAGTCCCAACCCAGAAGCCACCACCACCTCAGCTGCTTAGAAAGCAGCACAGCTGCAGAGCTGCCCCAGCCCCACTGCATGCCCAGTCAATGTTTGATTTTTACTATATGATTTGCTTTTTTTCCGGTTTCAAGATGGCAAAACCCCTTCCCAAAAGGAGTAGCTCTGGGGGCAAGGGGAGAGACTTCTGGTGGCAAAGGTCAGGGGTTAGGGGGCGGGGCTTCTGGTCCCAAGATGGCAACTGGGGGTGGGGCACCTGTCAAGGGGCAGGGCTACCCTTGCAGCTCTGGACAGCTCATTAAAACTCGTTAGGCGGACCTCCAGTGGAAATAATTGCCTGCCCCTGGATTAGCTCATGGCTAAGCTGTACCAGGATGGGCAGAAGAATAGAACCCAAAATAAGTCTAGATGTGCCTCGGACCTGCTGGGACAACCGGAGCAAAGATGCAGCACCAGGCGTGCCTGGAAACAAAGAGACTAGGAATGTCTTACCTAATCGGTTGGCTGGATTCCTTTTGAACAGGGCTCGCAGGAGACTCTGCGCTTCAGAGCTCAGAAACTGAGGCATGCCCAGCTTTGCTCTAGACAGGAAAAAAAAGAAAAAAAAGAAGCGATGCAATCGGTTGTTAGAAAAATAAGTAGACAGGAGCCAACTACAGCACCCCAACCCTTTCCCTCTAGCACGGGGGAATGGGGTAGCACCAGTCTGTTCTAGGGCATTAATGTGGTACCCTCCACATACATTGGTTTAATACAAGTACTTCACATCTGTGTTGAACCCGCAGCATGCAACATTCCTAGGTTTGGCAGGATTCAGTTTTTAATTGGTCAACATTGATAAACCTTGATTTTGCTGCAGACTGAAGAACAAATATTTCCATTGATAATAATTGAACTTTATAGAAAGGAGATGAAAGAAAAACGATGGCTGATGGAGCATGAGACAACAGACAGAGCAGTTCTACAGAACCGTGCTGGCTGGAGTTTGGCTGGCAACTCCCAGACACCCCAGGGGACTGGGAACAAAGGAAAAGAAGTGCCAAAAGGGATGAGGGAGCTATGGGCGAGCAGAGCTGGGACTGATGGCAGCTCTGCCGCTCAGCTGGCCACAGTCCTACAGCAGTTACATTAGTTACACTCCAATCCTGAAAATAGAAATGTATAAAGTCAAAAGAAATGCTTAAAAATCAACATTGAGATTATCCGTTACAATTATTAAAGAAAACAAACTAAAAATCAAATTCTGCCAAGCCTAAACATTCCTACAGGCAGAGCAACAAGGAGCAAGTCCCCCATTCAGACACACAGTGAGGCACATCACCTTCCCTTACTTGAGAATGAGTGTCATGGTCTCCTTACGGTCTTTGCCTTGGAATGGCAGGGAACCCGTGAGCATCTCGAACTGGAAAGAAAAGCAAGAGAAGGTGAAATGCTTGAGTGAGAGCTACAGGCTCCAAACTCCAACAGACTTTATGCAGACAACCCTGGGATACTAAGCCTCAATACGGTTAATGGAGGTTTGTGCAAAGTGGTTCAGAAATCCTCGCGGCTGAAAATGTTTTAGGAAACACTGTTCCAACCACCTTCTAGTGGAGCTGACCAAAGCCCAACATCTACCTCTTTAGGGGTATGTCCACACAGCATGGGGATATACTCCTAAAGATACCTGAGCTCACTCAAATGCCAGGAGCAGCGGAGTGCTCTAGCTAGTCTGATTCACAAAGCTGTGAGGGGGGGTCAATTTGCACTGGTGGAGCTGGCTGGGATCTCCTTCTACAGACCTACATTGCACAGAGCAGACGAGCGGTAGAATAACAGCTCTTGGCCCCTGCAGTTGGGCGAGTGGTTGCAGGATCACAGAGTTGCCCCCTGATCTCTAGAACCAGCTGCAGCACAGTATAACTGTGCTGTGGGGAACCACAGCAGCGCTGAGCCGTGTTGCTCAAGCCAGCTCTGGAAGCTGCGCAGCTTCACTAGCTTGGTGCTGCATAAAAGTGAATGTGCTCTGCCTCTCGGCAGGACTAGTTAGAAGAACTAGTTAGGAGCTCTAAGGCAGCTTTACTGCTTTCTGTGTGGGAAGTGAAGTGCCGCGTCAGCACAGCACTGCCTGGCACTGCAGAAACACAGGGGAAGAGTTTTCCCTTCCCAACCTTCCCCCACATCCACCTTTGCAACTGCCTGCAGCACCGGCCCTGGACCAAATGTCCGCCAGGTGGCAGCACCGGATGCAAGCATCGCTTGCAGTCCAGCATGCAAGGCCGGTGCCTTGATATGGGGGTGAAAGCCAGTTTTATACAGATGTGAATGCACCTGGAGTCCTGCAGCATTCCCTGCACTTGGCCACCAATTGGCTTGGCAGAAGGGGCTTGAAAACAACCATGCGCTCATGAGACCCGAGCTGGGAAAGCTCCGTTTGAGGCAGAGCATTCAGCCCAGACACGCTGTTTAACCTCTCAGGTACCAGGAAATGTGGGTTCCAAGGCCAAGGTGAGTTCCCATACCATTAACACGCCATACGACCACCAGTCAGCACTGTGGGAGTGACCCTGACGGTTGACCACTTCTGGTGCCATGTATTCTACGGTGCCGCAGAAGGAATAGGCCTTTTTCTCGTGGTCTATGGCTTCTTTACTCAGGCCAAAATCTGAAGAAGAGAAAAAGCCACAAGCTTGCACCTGCTTGCTGCCAACATGCACAGGCAGAGCACAGGCCCACGGGAATCTCAGATCCAAGTTTGCTGAAGCACAGACAGCATCTCCTTACCTGACAAACAAAACTCTGGGGTTAGAGGTGATATCTTTTATTAGACCAACTTAGTAAGATTTTTCTTACTAAGAAGACCTGCGTGCAGAGGAGGGAGACATCAATCAGTGGTGAAATTCCAACTAGTTGGTCTAATAATAGATATCACCTCTAACCCAAGAGTTTTGTTCATCTATAATTCCTAAACCAACAGGGCTACAACTTATATCTCCTTACCTGTGAGTTTGATGTGCCCTTCTTCATCCAAGAGAATGCTACAGGAGGGAGAAGAGAAATAAACACTGACGTGAGCAGCACAGATGTGGTGCATCAGCAACACAGCTTGTCCCTGTCTCCTAACCGGTCTCTCAGGGGGAAGCTTTAAGGACTTGGAAGCAGAATCGTCGCTTGGTCACTTTTAGCCTTCAGCATTTCAGTCCTTGTGATGGACAGCGAGACCCTGCTTCTCTTCCCTCAAGCCCCTGGGGACAGGATTCCCCATGAACCTCATTCCAACCACTTCCCACACAAGGGTTATTCAGCTGTGCAGCTGATGTGTGCCTCTGCACAGAGGCCCTGCATTACGTATCCCACTATGCTCTGAATGCTGTGTTATTGCCGAATCTGGAGACTGTTATCGCCAGAGATTGGCTTTGTGTTGTCTCCAGGGTGCTCCCGGGCCCCGACTGCTTAGAACACAGGGAGGCAGCTGGAGTCTCCTCCTCCCCATTTGCTTCCACACAAAATATTTGTGTTACTACTACCCAGCAGCCTGGCCCACATGTATTACACAGCTTAGCCTTAATGGGAGAAGGCATGACTGTTCTCCTGCTCCAGGCTGGAGGCTGTGTGGCAGGCAAGCTGGCCCAGTGCTCTGTCATGACGGAGGCCGTTACACGTACTTTTCTGGCTTGAGGTCTCTGTAGATGATCCCCAGGCTGTGCAAGTGATCCAGCCCTAGCGCCAGCTCTGCTAGGTAGAACTTCACATCCTCCTCGGTGAACATGACCTGAAGGGTAAGATGCCACCCTGGTTACAACGCTGGGCCATGCTGGAGGAAGGAGTCAGCCTCCAACACACCCAGCCAGCTTGCTCCCCCTCACCCCTTTCAGGCTTGCCGCTGCCTGGAGATCCCCACCATCCTGAGGTAGCAATTAAACAGCAAAATTAAAGGTTGCTAAGCAGCAAGGCTGTGCTCGTTAAAATCTTCATTTACATGAGCTATTGTTCCCCCTCATCTTTACCTGCTGCAGCTCCTTATTAACCTGTTGTGATCCAGCTCCCTATTTGAAGCCACCTTCTTTGCCCTCACCCCCTCCCCGACTCCTGTAGGGAGTCAAGTAGTCTAAGCAGCTAGGGCATAAGGCAGCAGAGGACCCCAAGCGCCAGTCTTGCCACTCTGCTCAGCAGGGGCTCACCTCATTCAGGTGGCCGCTGTTCCCTGCTCTGATGCATCAGGAGACACTGCTCCTCTACAGAAGACCCTCACTGCTGCGAACTCAAGCAAAACTCAACAAGCATTAGCCAGAGAGGTTCTTTTTTTTGGCAGAAGTGTCTCCTTGACTTAGACAGGTTCTCCCCTGCACCAGACTCAGGCCATGGGCACAGAGGGCGCAAGCAGTGCATCCTGAGGCCCAGGCACACTCACCTCTTTGGAAAGCCGAGTGAAGAGGTCTCCACCGCGGAGGAAGTCCAGGATGAGATACAGCTTCCCTTCCGTCTGGAATGCTAAAACGCAGGCCACAGCGGGAGTCAGTTAAGCCCACCCTCCGCAGAGGGGCCCAGCTCAAAGTGGCTCTCTAGAGCAGCGTTTCTCAACCCATGTGTCACAACCCAAAAGTGGATTGCAAAAATATATGAAAGGGTCACAAACAAACTTTAAAAATGGATTCTCCTTTAAAAGGAGAAAAACACAGGAAACCATGGCATTTTCCTTGCAGGCTAGCAGAGTGCCAGCTGGGAAAGGGCTGCTTGGAGCCCCCCACGTCTCACACCTGCCCCACACACTGGGGGGCTGGGGCCTGGAGGTGGGGGGCAGTGGGTCAGGAGGGAGGGGCACTGGGTCAGGCTTGGTCATTGGTGTTTACAAATGGATCCTAGTACAACAGTTTGTAACCACTGCTCTAGAGAGAGTGTCCTGCCTTCCCCACTAGACTAGGCACCATGGCAGGCAGATCCAAGCATCAAGATCCCCTGCACACTCAGCACTCGGACTGGACGCTGCCCAGAGCCCCTTGGGTGTTGTTCAGATGGCACAGGGCAGCACCGCAGAGAGATCTCCGAGCCTGCTTGAGCATCGTGCCACCCTCGTGCAGCTACACTGCTTCCTGCTCCAGAACCAAGGCAGGCTTGGGGACCAGCGTGGTGCTGCCAAGCCCCTTCCCAACAGGACTTTCACGATCATCGAAGGGGCATGGGAAAGTCAGAAGAGGATGCTTAGGCTTTGAAATCAGTTCCAGGTTAGTGCATCAGTGCCCAGCTCTTTTGCAAGGGGATACCAAAGTGCTGGCAGCTTTGCAGCGGATAAAGTCCCTATGATCCCTTGCTTTAAAAGAGGAGTTAAATTCTGGCCCGGTTAGTTATTCCCACCCCTGGAATGGGATATTCTAGCAAAAGCTACAGCAGGAGCAGCAAACTGGGGAGCCCAATTCCACGTTGAAAAGGAAGGGGTGGGAGATCAGGTTTGAGAAGCTGCAGAAAGACAAAGGGTCCAGAGAGTGGAGTCGGCAGCAGCTGCCCAACCAACTCAGCCATGCTTGAACGAAACCATGCTTCCAGCACATAGTACTAGGATTTGAAACTCAGCTTCCTCTCCTGCATTATTTCATCTTCCCATCCTGGGCAGAGGAGCCCAGCCCCAGAGGAAGATGCGTTTAGACAGAGTATGTGTAGGGAGGTTGGAGCAGCAGTTCAGGTGTTAGGAGGCATGTGGGCTGCTCGCCAGAGAAAAGCACCTTCCACATTGCTCTTGCTAGTGACATGCCCCTGCCAGAAGGTATGAGGATGCACGAGTGCATTTGATGAGAACCTGCTGCTGGGCCATCTCGTGAACATCTGTTACCTCAGCTGTGGCTGCAAGCTGCCCCTGGAGGAATTGGCTTGGGATAAGGCTCATGAAAGCAGTTCATTTCTCTTTTGGATTAATTCAAGGCATCTTAGCTGTTGCCTGTGCCATTGCTCCTGCCCCCACCTAGCCCCACACTCACCATAGTGCAGTTTCACTACAAAGGGATGGTTCACATCAGCCAGGATGTCCCTTTCCATTTTCGTTCTCACCCGATCGCGCACTGTGGAGAGAGGCATGAAGGTCAGACAGATGGTGCCCCCCAAATCGTCCATGGGGCCCTGCACACTCCAGTTCTTGTTAAATGTGCCCAAGATGGAGGGGCCAGAGGTAGCTCTCTCCAGACCTCCAGGGGAACCAGTGCAGACCTCCCATTTCATTTCTGGCATGCAGAAGAGGACCAGGCTAAAGAAAGCCCTTCTTACCTTTCAAGGTTGCTTTCTTCAGGACCTTCATGGCGTAGAGGTGATTGTTGTCTGGGGGTGTGATTTTTCTTACTAAGAAGACCTGTGTGCCGAGGAGGGAAACATCAACCAGTGGTAAAAATTAATCTGGATGGAGTCGTAGCGCCTGCTACACCAGAAGCATCAGAGCAGCCGCCGGAAGGCAGCTAAACACGGGGCCCGTGAGTCCCATACCAAGCTCTGCAAGCCAAACCCCTCAGGGCTCCCAGGAAGGGCTGGGGAGAGGACTGCGACTCCCCCAGCCCTCACCTAGCCTGTCTGCATCACTTTCTAGACTGCTCATCCCCAACCCTGCCTGCTGTGCAAGCCTTCGCCCAGTGGTGCACGCTGGGCACGACAGCAGGGAACAGGACTTGAGGTCCTTTCTACTCCTAGTGGGGGAAGTGTCAGCTATTTAAAAACAAACTGCCTACCTCTCACATGAAGTGGCAGGTCAGTGCCTGTACCACCAGGCCAAGGTGCCTGTATCACCAGGCCAGGGTAAGTCTGTGCAGCACAGGGGCGTGCACCAACACAATGTCTGCTAATGCTCTGCTGTGCTAGGAAGCTTCCTGCTGTGCATGGGTTGGATGGTGAGTCATGATTAATGCCATCATTGGAGCTTCCTCTCTTTCCCTGTCCCCAGCACAGCACTGCCTGGCTCTGGACAACAGCAGCACATCTGGCAGAGCCATAGGCTTTACTATGAAGGAGAGCACAAAGGGACAGGGCTCGCACTGCCAGTCACATCCTCACAGACCTGGGGAATTGTGATGGCTACTGCCCCTGGCCAATACCACCCAGTCTCCAGGTTATAGGCAGTAGATCATCTTCAGCAGATCTGGACTATGAAAGAGCAGAGGGCTTAGCTGCTGCTTCCTTTCCCTCCAAAGTGGACAAAGGAGGACTACACATACCACAAGGTCAAGGCTGTCGATAATCACTAAAGCACCCCCAATTTTTCTTTATCCAGCTGAGTGGCCACTCAGTTGCAGGGCACCGGATGTCACTGTCCTGTGCAACACAGGCTCTTGCAAGCAAAGATCCCTTCCCCTCCAACCCCAGCCATCATAATTCACACTGGAGTTCATGGGAGCTCTGCATGTACCGGGACTACATGAAGGGGCCCTCTGAGCAGGCTGCACCTGAACAGTTCAGGTGTGGAGGGCTGGTGGAAATCATGAAGGCAGGGCCTTCCCCAATACACCCTTGCTTCTGCAGCCCTGAAAGAAAAATGACCGAGGGATTGAAATGTAGCAAGCAGCGCACTCACCTTGCCGAAGGAGCCTTGCCCCAGGACCTTGAGAAGTTCAAACTGTGAAGGGTCAGCCTTCTCGGAGCCTTCCTTCACATGGTGCGTGATGTTGATCTCCTTCACGATGCCTTCACCCTGAAAGAAAGATGTACGCGTGAGCAGGAACCACTCCAGAGCAGAGGAGAAGGCTGACTGGCCCAGAGCCGAGAGTGCCATCGAGTTATTTGTGTTGTGTCAAGCAGCTTCTCCTCTGATCAGTACCCAGAATGAGAAACATTGGAAGGCTTTCAGCAACCAGGCCTGGCATCTTACAAGTATGACAGCCTCTTCCTCAAATGCCTGCTCTTTGGATTTTGCCCATTGACAGAGGTCAATCTTTGTTCTACATTTCCTGAGAGCACTTTACTTTTTAAGCACTAGTAGCAAAACTAGGCATGTTTATGCCATTAAAAAACTTCCACTATACAGAAAACAAGGCACTGTTGCCAAAACAAGGACGTGGCTGGCAGCAATCATCCTCCCTGAACCCCATCTGCTCAGAAATCTGAGCAGCTCTGCCACCGCGCATCTTTTGCACAGAAGGAGGCTTTTACACAGCCACAACCCTTCATCACTTCAAGGCTGAAGAGAAGCCAAAGCCTGTCGCTGGCACACGATTTGTTTAAGCACCTTCTTGTACCGAACTGGAAACTCTGAAGAGACGGTTGTATAGAAGGAAAAGGATGGGGCGAAGATGATAAGTCAGAAGCTTCCATTTACCTTTTAAACACAAAACTAGGAAAAAAAGGCAGCTGCAGACACCAGAGAGCAACTTTTCAACAGTCCTTTCTCCCATGTGTCCTCCCATCCACAGCCCTGCAGAACTCCCTCCTGCAAGATGGTGAACCTGAAACTTGGGCTCACCTGGACCAGACGCTTCATACACATACAGAAAAACCCAAATCTCTAAAAAGGGGACATCACCCTTCATATTTTAGTTTTCTAGATAATATATCTGACTTTCTCCATTGGGGGGGTGGAGAAGAAAGTCCCCCCACATGGAAAGCCATGCTCAGAAACTGAACTCTGGCCCATGAGAAAACCGCGACCAGGTCACCATGTTTTACTACTGCAGTGTTTACAGAAAGCTCAACACCCCTTTCTGCAATGTGGGTTGGATTCAAGCTCATAGGCCGACGAGAGCAAGGACTTACCACGGAAGTGGTTGCCGACCTGCTGTGCTGCACTGTGCATCCTTTCCTTCCCTTGCTGCCTTGCTTTGTTTTCTCTCAGTTTAGGAAGTGCCTTTGTTTTCATGTTCTTGGCAGCCTGGTTTTTTCAAGAGCCCACATTGTTTAGACCAGTGATTCTCAACCAGGGCAAGTCATGGCACCCTGGGGGGCCTTGAGATCCTTTCAAGGGTGCTGCAGGGTACCATGCAATGTTAGCACTGAGAGGTGTGCAAACAGGAGTCACAAATAAACCCATAGATTTCATTTAGGAATCTATAGGATTAAAAGTGTGCTGACCTGCTGTGGTCTTCCTAAGTTCTTTGCAACAGGAGAGTTGCCCTATTTTTATGTGGGCAAAAAACAAGCTGGGTGCCTTGAGAGGTGCTTTGAGTCCATCAAGGTTGAGAACCACTGGGTCAGACACTCACTTCTAGTGGAAACTGAAGTCCCTCACTGTGCCACTGGTACAACAGAGAGTGCCAGCCAGTAAGACAAGCTTTCCCAGCTTGTTTCCCCTAAACATGTACCCCAAGCCTTGCTCTGGAGGGAACACAGAGGTGAGAAAGGGATGAAAGTCTCCCTAGTCCACTCTGTCTGTAGTTTTCATGACGACTCAATAACATGGTCAATTAAGTGCGTGGCTTTTATACTGCTGGCACCAGTCCACCAGGCCCTGAACCACCAGCTCCTTTCTTCATACCACTGGATAGCCATCGGTGAATAGCAGATCTCCATCACTAGCTATCTAATTTGCTTTACAGCTGTAGCCTACAGCTCCCCCGTATCCAGATTTCAGCATCTCGATGGCCTGAGAAAGGAACCTAAAAACCAAGCTCTTTGAAAGTTCTAGAAAGAGAGACTCCGGTTGGAAATGTCAGAGATCTCCATGTTCTTCGTGGCTAGAGTCACTTTTCTGGACTGAACTTGTTCTGCTATTTGCTATCCATGATTAAGGAAACAGTTTGAGCCATATGTGACCAAAACATAGCAAGCACCCCCCTTTCCTGGACAGATTACTAGTCCAGCTCAGCGCTGTTGGAATAGTTTAAGTCTGGTTCAGCTGAAGATTACAGGAAAGCAGGAGTGTCATGAACATGCTCCAGAGAAAAACCTAACCAACATTGTGCCAATATTTAACTACAGATTTACGCTAGATCTCTCGTTAAAATAGCCATTCCTTTAAAACTCACAACATGTGAACCCCAAACTCACTCTGCTTGTAATCCAGGAATCCACTATGGATGTGTGACACTAGCTGCCAGTCCATACTGACCCTCCAGCAGAAGTGTATGCTTGTTAGGACCTGCTTTAAAAAACTATTTATCTGACAGTAAGCCCCAATTTGTTCAGCTGGATGAGAGCACAGCTAGCGCAGAGAGCCACAAGGCAGTCAAGCAGTTCAAGATTTGCATACGCACAGTCTGGCAACTAAAACACATCAATTTGTGTTAGATAAATATGTTAGATAAATGTAGATTTTTTATCCGAAGTGATGCTTTAGCTGAACAGCTAGAAGCTCCCCTATTGAAAGGGGGCTCCTCTCCTGTCTGGTCCGTTAGCCTCCCACTGAGGATGTAGGAGCCCAGACTTCTTAACTTGTTTAGTGGCAAACCATGAAATGAGCAGCTGGTCGGGTAGCTCTGCAACAACTGCTGCAGCCATCTGAGAACTAGATCTTTAAATCACCACACCAGCATTCACTAGGCTTCCACCTGCACAAAGGAAGCTTCCTATTGCAATGCAATTAAACCAAAGCCTGCAGGAAAGGATGGAGAGAAAACCCAAAAGGCTGCCTCCCTCTCTTGCTGCAACTGTGCCCCCAACCAACATCATCTCAGTGGAGCTGCAGGGTAACAGACATAGGACAGACAGCGCATCTCCCCGCCGAGGGCTGCAGTACTAACCGAGTTGGAGAGCTGGGCAGGGGTAGGCAGCTGCAGGCTGCATGGTTTTGCTCGGTGTTTTCTGGGCAGCCACAAGGTGAGCAAGGCGCAGATGCGAGGAAACTTGGGGTCCCGCTCCATGGTCCCATCCCCTTCCACATAGCACCTCCCCCAGCGGCAGGGCACCTTCTAGAGCAGCATGGCAGGCTGCCGGGACAGGCACAGCTTCATGGAGGAGCAGAGGCAGCTTCAGGCGCTCCGGTCGGAGAGCACGGAGGAGGCCGGTGGTGGTAGCACAGCCTGCAGATGTGCAGTGACAGCGCATGCACAGTGTGGGAGCTCAGAGCGAGGCGAGATCGTACTCCCACTCCCTGGCAAGTCAAGGTTGTGGTTAGTTTCACACCTCACAGCTTCTGGTGCTGAGGGCCTCTTTCACTGCAGGGAGCCCCCCATCCCCCTGGTAGCCCTGCCAGGAGCCGTCTTGTGCAGCCTGGGCTGCGGATCGGGGCCTCTTTTTGCCTCTGGATGGGAATTCCCACGCAAGGAATTTGGGGTCCCCCCCCTTCAAATGTCATTTCTCCTTTGACCAGGGGATAAAAACCACAGGTCCAGAGAGAGCCCATCTAGCAGCACGTTCTGGCTCAGAAAGTTTGGGTCTTTGTCCTTGTGTCCTGCTTAGGGATGTGGTCTCCTACTGGAGGTCCCAGTGAAGCCAGACAAGATTGAGTCCGTCCCTGGGGTTCCATGCGAGGGACTCGCGCGTGGCCAAGATGGAGGTGGCTTTGCTCATCGTCTCCCAATGTGTTCCTCGGGAGGCTAAGGCACCTCTGCAGGCTGTCAGCCACCAGTCGGTCCACCACCAGGCCCGTAGCTACATGGCCAGGAGTCGCAGGCAGGGGCAGACACGTCAGAGGTCGGGAGTGCTGTGCAGGGGCAGCCCCGGTGTCCGGGTTCACTCAGTGCAGCTCAAGGAAGGCTGGTCCCTGTGTAATAACACGATGCCTTCGGCATCATTTCCAACTGCATTCCCGTTAGCCTTCCCACACACCGGCTAAGCAGATGTTCACAGCTTACCTGCTCTGTTGGGTGGTTGCTCCTATTGTTCCTCCCCCCCACACACATGCACGCAAATTTAAGCACAGGTTGCAGTTAGAAACAAGCCAACAGCTGCATTCACTGCTGGAAATTCCCCAGCGGGTTTGGAGCTGGGTTGCTCATTTGGGACCACTTGCCACCTTCCTTCTCCCTACACCCACGATGATACATTTTAACTATTAACGAAAAAAGCTAAATGACTGTTTTTTCTGATATGATACCAGTCTGGAATAACGGCGCCTTTATGCTCCGTGTTGTACAAGCAATTCAATTCCACATGCCCCCTTCCCCAAAAGGGGCAACAGAGAGGGATGAGGTAGGGGCTGAGGTCCAGGAGGTTTCGTAGGTACCAGGGAAGATTGGGAGGCATCAAATCTGAGCTGCAGTGCTGAGGTAGACAACCCTCACTGGGAAAGGGAGGCAAGAGACCTGGTGTACTTTGCTAAAACCTCAGTAGAAAGCTGCTTATGAACCAGCTCAGAAAAAATGATGTCAAAGGACTAAAGGTTTCATATTTGGTTAATTACTTCTAGTAAAAAGTCATCAGTATCCAGATGTAGAACCACGTATGAGCAGATACCGATGAAGGAACAATTCAGTCCTTCTCTCTGCCAGGCCAGTTGGCTTGCTGTATTCTTAGACACAGCAACAGAAGTCAGTTCAGTACTTCAGAAAAACCTCAAAAAATAGATGACATTCACAACAGGGGAAGAGGGTTAGGGTGGGGAAGGAGGGGGAGGGCGAAGACATGATCGGGAGGTCACGTGAGTGCCTGACTCATATCTGCTTTCCATATTAGCAACTCTACCTAGTCAACTGGGCCAGGAGGCACGTCGTAAAGAAAAACCCTGCACTGAGCACCTTGCAAAACACTGTTCATGCTCTCCCACCAGCCTGTCACACTTCCTTGAGTTTGCACACCTAGTCCAAAGAGGGCGACTGCCCGCGCTGGCTGTGCACAGCGTCAGAGGAGAGGATGATTCACAACTGACGTGAACCGAGAGCCTGTCCAGAAATAAACTGCTGGAGTTTGCTCATGGGATAAGGTGCAAACTAACGCACAGGTCTCTGAGGTATGGGGCTGTAGCAGGCTCTAACCTTGTCTGCCGAGTCCACGAGGTCTCTCTCCACCCAAGTGATGTCCGACTTTGCCTGTGGAACAAAGAACGAGAGTCAGGACAAAGGGTCTGGGACCTTCAATTAACCTTTTCCTAATGGACTTGTTTAAGAGAAGGGGTCAGGCTGTTTATGGACTCGCACAGTGGTGCCCCAATTCAGAGCTCTGCAGTACAGCCAGGGGAGATGATGGGGCTGCTGGGTTTAAGAGGCCTTTATGGACTTCTCTGCACAGCAGGGGTGGCAGGGAGAGGGGCACAAGCCTGTCACAAGTTAATTATTCACAACTCTGCCCATCTCAGCATCACGGCTGCTGTTGGGGGATAGAAGAGAGTCCTAGGTTCTTCCACTGGCCTTAGGGCCAAATTCTGCTTGCAGCCACACTCCAGAGCCGTTCCTGGTTTCTGTAGCATCAGCCTGCATTTCCACCCGCCCAACGGTGGGATCTGGAATGTGGATACCGAGGAATGGCTTCTCTTTGGGGAAAGACCAGAGCACCTCAGCCCCCCCAGGTCAGAGCTCAGCGCATCCTCTGTGGCAACGTCAGCAGGGACAGGTGGCTCCGTCTGGCAGGCTTCCAGCCCACATCTGGGTAGCAGAAGTACCAATCCAGGCGGCCTTTTAAAACAGACGTGGCCCAGATCTAGGAGCCCTTACGCAGAGAGCCACAGTAACTATATGAAAAGGCATGAGCCATACCTCCACTCCAGAGCAGGCCATTTCCCTCTGCCCCTACAACACTGCTTTTCTATCTTTCCAGACTCAGGGCACCACTCGGAAAATGCCAGCTCTTAGTCTGCTAATAGTCTACTAATTAAGCAGCTACTAATAACATTCAGTCACCCCATTGTTAACTTCAGAGAAAGACTAGAGCAATTCTTCTGCTGCAAAACCCGCAGCAGCAGGTCAGAATTGTTTTAACACCATGAATTCCTATGTGAAATCTCTGGGTTTAACCTTGTGAATTGTGTTTTTGCACCCAACAGTGCTAAGGTTGCGTGGTGTACCACAGCACCCTTGAGCGGTGCCACCCTGGGGTGCCATGGCCTGCCCTGTAGGGCAGTGATGCTCAAGCAGGACCGCACCCAGACAGACTCAAGGCAAGAAGGTTGAAATCTGAAGAACCCAATTTTGGGCAGGTTAGAAATTCTTTGTAAAAGGGTACTACACATCTGCGAGTCCCTGCACAGCTGTTTCAGCCCATCTAGAGAGGATGAGCTGAAGTTTAAATAATCATAATTTAAAAAACCTCTCAGATTGGAGGCATTTCCTCTCTCGGGCTCAAGTCACAAACTGTAGATTAGCAGCAGCGCTGCCACGGGGGCTTTTTTTTTTTTTTTTTTTTTTTTTTTTTTTTT